TGCCTAGAGTTGACTGTTAAGCGTAAAGTTATAATGTTTCCCGTATTCGTACCTTTGTTGAGAACTATCTGGGCTATACTTGGGGTTATAAAGAAGATGATTCCCTAAATAAACGGGATAGTTACTAATTCTGCGTTAAAAATTACCGATTTGAAGTGTGATAGCAGACTTTGCACATGCTTACACTATGGCGTGCTCTTTATACCAGTCCAAGAGCATGAGAATCTTATTTCATTATCATATACAAGTGTATTTTTTTAATTTCTCCTGTATGATATGCTGGGACTGGAGGCCTGTGACCATGCCGGGCGATTCATAATATTGGCACGTGAGTTATCCGTGCCGTTTGTGGGAATTTTATTTCTATGATTATTTATCTAATTTATTAATTTCCTTCCTCTACAATTGTGCATATGCGCCTATGGTTATCCTCTTCACAAAATTTGAGGAGTTGGTTGTAACATTGCAGTTGTAGTGGTGCTTGTTGAACTTACAATACGGTTCTCTTCCTTGAGACATCTCCCATATTTGGGTACACAGATTGCGCAGTTGTGGCTTGAGTTATATTGATGTGGCGTGTCTATGGGATAGTTGTGTTTAATAATATAAGGTCATTGGACCTAGAATGGGTACTATCAGGTTTGATTACGGTATATTCGGGAGGATAATATTGAAAGTCGGCTTAGAAAGTGATTATGGTTCTGGTTGGGGCGAGAGAGCTCCGTGACTTGTTGCTCTGATAAGGGGTCATGAGATTTCTGCATGTTTCTTTTATTATCAATAGTGTACGAAGGTTTGGCTTGATATGAGGTTTTATACTAGTACTTGGTTGGTTTTGAGTAGTTACTGTGATAAAATATTGTGTTACGAGTATGCGAGTTGTGTAGTATGTTATGCGATTATATCTGGGATTATGGTTATGACTGGATACAACTTGTTTAGACTCATACAGTGTGTAAATGTAAGATTCGTGTCTTGAAAAGAAATCCTGAAGGTTGGGANCTGCATGTTTCTTTTATTATCAACAGTGTACGAAGGTTTTTGGAACGAGGTTTGGCTTGATATGAGGTATTACACTAGTACTTGGTTGGTTTTGAGTAGTTACTGTGATCAGAAATGGTGTTACGAGTATGCGAGTTGTGTAGTATGTTATGGAATTATATCTGGGATTATGGTCATGGCTGGATACAGCTTGTTCAGGCTTATACAGTGTGTAGATGTGAGATTCGGGTCTTGAAAAGAATTCTGGATGTTAGAAATTTTGGCTCCAAGGTTTTTGGCCTAAGGTTAAATTAATGATTTTCAGTTATGTTGTGTGGTCAGGCCTATATAGAATAGGGTGACGTGAGATCATACCCGGGTATGTGCGTGGTAAGGTGGAATAGAGATTTGAAGGTTAAAAATAATTTTTGGCACGTTTGAGGACGAACGTATGTTTAAGTGGGGAAGATTATAATGACCCGATCAGTCATTTTGAGAATTTACGCTCCTTTCAACTATTTGAAGTCTTGAATAACTTCCTACGAGGTATTATGACTTGTGTGAATTGTTGGTTTTCGTTTTAAGATATTCCGGAGTTAGCTTGGAAGAATGAATTTTCATATTGGAAGCTTAAGTTGAAATAGTTGACCGGATATTAACTTATATGTAAACGACCTCGGAATTTAATTCTGATGATTCCAATTGCTTCGTATGATGATTTTGGAGTTAGGAGCGTATCCGGAAAATTATTTGGAGGTCCGTAGTGAAATTAGGCTTGAAATGCCGAAAGTTGAATTTTGAAAAGTTTGACCGGGGGGTTGACTTTTTTATCTCGGGGTCGGAATCCGATTCTGAAAATTGGAATACCTCCGTTATGTCATTTATGACTTGTGTGCAAAATTTGAGGTCAATCGGACGTGATTAGATAGGTTTCGGCGTTGTTTGTAGAAATAGAAAGTTTCAAAGTTCATTAGGCTTGAATCTATGTGTGATTCGTGTTTTTAATATTGTTGGATGTGATTTGAAGACTTGACTAACTTCGTATGATGTTTTAGGACTTGTTGGTATATTTGGTTGAGGCCCCGAGGGCCTCAGGTGAGTTTCGGATGGTTAACGAATCAAAAAGTGGACTAAAATAGCTGCTGCAATTTTCTTTTGCTGCAAATTCCTTCGCCCAGAATCGAGCCCAAAATTTCCCAGAATAGAGCCTTGAATCGTGCCCAGAAAAGGGCCATGATCGAGCCCAGGATCGAAGCCACGATCGAAGGCAGGATCGAAGACCAGGGTCGAGGGCCATGATCGAGGGCAAGGATCTAGGGCCCAGGATTGAAGCCACGATTGAAGGCAAGATCGAAGGCTTGGGTCGAGGACCATGATCGAGGGCCAGGATCGAGGGCCAGGATTGAGGGTCAGAATCGAGTCCCAAGATCGAGGCCCAGGATCGAGGCCCAGGATCGAGGAACACGATCGAAGGCCCAAGATCGAGGGTTGTCTGGGCAGAATTATAAAGTAGGGACTTCGTTCCCTTCGCCATTTTTGACAAATTGGAGCTTGAGGAGAGGCGATTTTTGATAGATTTTCAAGGAAAACTTGAGGTAAGTCCCTTGTGATTATTTTTACTCCATAATATTGAATTATCATCGAGTAATTCGACTAGATTACATGATTTTGAGGTGTAAATCTGAGATTTGAACTTAGAAATTTGGAAATAAGATTTGTAGATTTGAGGGTCGAGTTGAGATCGGATTTTGGTAAAATTGGTATAGGTAGACTCGTGGTTGAATGGGCTTTCAGATTTTGTAACTTTTGTAGGGTTCTGATACGTGGCCCCCACAGGCGATTTTTGAGCTAAAATTCTATTTTATGAAAAAATTGTATTTTCTTATGGAATTAGTTCCTATAAATTTTATTGACTGAAACGAATTATTTATGACTAGATTCGAGGCATTCGGAGGCCGATTTTCGAGGCAAAGGCATAGCAGAGTAAAGAATTTCATGCTTTGAGGTAAGTAACAGTTTTAAATCTGGTCCTGAGAGTTTGAAACCCCGGAATTTCATATCATGTGATTACTTTGGAGGTGACAGACATGCTAGGTGACGGGCATGTGGGCGTGCACCGAGGAGATTGTGACTTGGTCCGTCCCATGAAAACTGTAAAACTGAATAACTTGTTGATAGTCATATGCTCTCTATGTGTTGTATAAATTTGACTATAAGTTATGCTAGATACCATGCTTAGGCTATATGTTGGAATTGTTGGGACCCACAGAGCTCGTGTACATGTTAAATTATCTGCTTAAATTATTGTTTTGTACTCAGTCACAACTTACTTAATTATTTTATCTCAGTCTCTATTTGTTCATTATTGATGTATCATATCATTGTTGTTTGGGCTGTTTTTATAACATGTTGAGAGCCCAAGAGACTGGAGATCTTTATGACTGAGTGAGGCCGAGGCCCTGATTGTGAGATGTTATACTATAGCAGGTGAGTTGGCCGTGCAACACGTGAGTTGGCCGTGCGGATCCTTATATTATACTATAGCACGTGAGTTGGCTGTGCAGCACGTGAGTTGGCCGTGCGGATCCTTATATTATACTATAGCACGTGAGTTGGCTGTGCAGCACGTGAGTTAGCTGTGCAGCACGTGAGTTGGCCGTGCGGATCCTTATATTATACAATAGCACGTGAGTTGGCCGTGCGGATCCAGATATTTATATTATAGCACATGAGTTATCCGTGCAGCACGTGAGTTGTCCGTGCAGATTATAACGCTTGGGCTGTAGGAGCGCCTTCGAAGTCTGTACACCCCAAGTGAGCGCGGGTACCCATTGAGTGTGAGTGCTGAGGGCTGGGAGCCCAGTGAATGATTGTTGTCCTGAGAGGTTGTACTTATTTTTCATTGGTTGATGTACTTAGTTGCTATCTCTTGATGTGGTGAAATTTCTGAAGAATTCTATATCCGGATTACATGAACTTGAATTGTATAAAATTGATTTGACTTAAACTGCCGGATTTGAAAGCATGTCTATTCTTTGCTGGAATTACTGAAATGAATTATAATTCTATAGCTCGTCACTATTTTCAGTTCCTTATTTATTATTGTTACTTGCTGAGTTGGTTGTACTCATACTACATCCTACACTTCGTGTGCAGATCCAGGTACTTCTGGACATAGCGGGTGTTGATTCTCTCATGCAGTTGATCTTCCGGAAATTTAGAGGTAGCTGTCGTGTTTCGCAGACCCTGTATCTCTTTCCCTACCTCCTTGTTTACTGTATTTTGGTCTTAGACTATTATAGACCTTATGTTCCAGACTTGTATCCATATTAGATGCTCATGTACTCAGTGACACTAGATTTTGGGGGACTGTTCGTATCAGTATTTGTGGAATTTTGTATTGTATTTAAGTATTATATTTTTAAACTTAAGAGAGATTGTGGTTTATTGAGATTTTCGGCTTGCCTAGTAACAAGATAGACACCATCACGACAGGTTGGGATTTTGGATCGTGACAAGAGAGAGAAAGGGTCTCGCTTTCTGAGCCCTTGCAGAGTATCATTGGTCCATTTTGCCAATGTCAAGAAGATGAACTCACACATGAAAATGAAAATAAAGCATGGCTCTAAAATATACTCATCGATTGGAAAATAAATTATAGGATTTATTTTTATGGAGAAGCAAATAACCTTACCCAATGTATCAGCACTTTGGTTATGATTTTCTAGCTCCTCTATTATCTCTCTAATAAACTTGTTACCAACAAAAGTAGAACTTATTGTGGGTAAAAGCGACTTCAAACGGGATTGTGAATCCGGGCTGCTACTGTATTTTGCCAACAATTCTTTTATCTCCTCATCTTCATCCTTAGAGTTGCTTTAAGAAAACAGAATAACCTATTTTAAAGTTGTAATATGTAAGTGAAATGATTTGTATCAGTAGCACAATACACATTTATCAGAATGCATAAGATACAATGCTCTGAAGCATCTGAGGAAAAATGGTCTATACCAGATGTGGCTCATGAAGTGATTATTAGGGTCCAGCAATAGAAGCACTAAAAAAGCTTCAAATATTGGGAGAAAAAGTTTACTCAATTTGGGAATATGTTCCTCCAAGGCAAAACATCAAAGGATTTGAAGAGACCGGAGTCTGATATAGCTTGTGCGTCGCTTATTGCATTTGCAATCTTCCTTCCACCATCAATAATGGCTTGAAGGTTCAAACTATGAATAAGATTCTGACCAAAAAGGTTCTGTTAGTCATCAAATGTATTTTCAAATACGAACATTTAGATAGATATGTTAATACAAAATAGTAATGAGTGTTTAAAAGTTTGTTGGAGAAATTACAATCAATACCAACAAGACTTACTGGTAAAAACTTTAACTTCACCTGATCAGTTATTTCTATTCATATATAAGTTACAACATTGGTCTCTATTGTCTCTCCGGAGATAAGTTCAACATATAGTGTCAGATGTAATTTCTCTCTTTGACTGTATTTTATGTTGCAAATGCTTTTTTCTTGAGGACTTGAGATTCTTTTATATCAGCAGTAGTCTAAAATATTTACATGTCTTACCTATGATGTCCTGAAAGATAAGTAAGATTGACAAAAAAATATAATAGATTACAATACGTGTTCGTACTAAATGCCAAAAGAGTTGATTAAATTGAACTAATAAAGATACTTATTCAACTCGAGAAAGAATAAGCAACTTTTAATGATTCAACAAAGAATACTGTAATTTTAGCATCTGTCAAATATATATGAGACCAATTATTAGTATGTATTCATAATAGTTGTTACTTTAGTTACCTGTGGAGAGGTGTATGATTTGCCGAGATTCTAATTAATATCTGCTCCTGAGATGATACAAGCACTTTCGGATTAGGTATGCGGGAAACGTTGATCTAATTATTATGTTTTAGAAATATTTTAAAGAAAAAATATGAGTCAAACGACAATAGAAAGTCTACGACTAAAAGTGGTCACAGAAACCATCACATATCCCTAAAGCAACATTAAAGATGATATGACTCTTTCAGTTTATGTTGGATTTAAAAGGCAGCTAAGGCTTAGGCCGCAACTGTGTTATTTTAGTTTTAACTTTTCCATGGAAGCATGACAATTCAAAACCAAAATATTCTTTCTTGGTTGCTAAGGTAAAGAAGGCACAGATTGAAATGAAATCATTTTTGTATATCTTTTATAACGTTTCAACAACTAAACATTTAGCTCACAGTAATATTTATGTAAAGAAATTTAACTGATATATATATAAAAGCTTGTAAAAATCATAAGCTTTTTATCAGAAGCACGTGTAATTTATTAAGGTAAGTAAGGAACTCAAGGAAACTAATACATATAACATGAATAGCAATAATTTCGGCAACTGTTTGAGATACTTTCTAATATCCTATTAGTAAGATTGATCAGAGCATTAAAATATACTGAGATACTTCAATAGAAAATTAAGAAATGCAACAGAGGTGGGAAACAATTTAGCATATTGGAAGTCGGTTACTTCCATTGTACCTCTAGTATGATAGCAACCAAAAACTTTTTCATATCAATGATCCCAAACTAGGAAAAAGACTTTTTATTTGTATTGATTTTTACTGGGAAGCAATATTACGTTTGAATTCACTTCTTTTTAGTGCACAAAGAAATTTATGTCTGTTTTTATTTTAGTAGTAGACAGAACATAGCATCGTGATTTTTTTTAAAACTCATATACTTACCTTGACAGAGTGAAAGCGCAGCTGGCGGAAGATGATATTACCAAAATTGCAAAAAGATGACCAAATGAGTCCACCTAAATTTTGTTCTTCATCTGAATAGCATAGAAATTCAGCAAATATTTATATCATACTGATAAATATAATTATAATTATAGCTAACAAACCTTGGTCGTAACATAATTTAAGAAAGTAATTTACTTTCTCAGCAAATCTGAGATAAAGGCAATCTATTGGACATTACCTTTACTCCATCATAAGTTATCATAAGATGCGTTGAAGCTCTTTGGCCTTTAGCTTCTGTCTGGAAATATAGTTTTGACAAACACACAAATATTATACAAATAAAAAACCAAGGTAGCTAAATCCGAAGGAAAAGTGACCGCTTGTCTCACTTGTTAATTTGCATTTCTAATATAGTCTAGCTGGCCGTTGCTCATGTATAGCCCACGCACAATGACATAGTTTATATAACATAAACTTTAAAGTATTTACTGATGCTCAATAATAAATACTTCAGCTAAGAAAAAATTCTTATTTATCAACATTTTAGTGGTGGTGACTTGTGTTTAAACGCCGCCACAGATTTTTATAACTGAACTAAAATTAAAATTATGTAAATGATACATGTGTAATTTTTTTGTTAAATAGTAAGAGTAGACATCAGTAGTATAAAGAAAAACACCATGCGATAAACGTAGTAAACTTTCAGAAATGTACATTGATGTGTGGCTATAATTCCATAGTTTCGTACATTATGTGCCTTACATTTTACATGCTTTAATGATAAATTACACTTTATTTGTGCATAATGGAGTCTATTTTATGTGTAGGTGAATTGGAGATGAAAGTAGAGCAAAATGGATACTTAAACGTTGAAAGTGTGCTCGAGAACAGTGAAAAGAAGAGACCTGGCGAGGCCAGCCAAAGGCCAGGCTGGACCAGGCTTTAGCCTGGTGAGGCCAGCCTAAGGTTAGGCTGGACCAGGCTTTAGACTGGCGAGGCCAGCCTAAGGCCAGGCTGAACCAGGCTTTAGCCTGGCGAGGTCAGCCAAATTCCAGGCGTTAGGCTGGTGACGCCAGGCCTGAGGCCAAGTCCAATCCGACTTTTGAAGACTTAATTCGTTCCGGGTTTGACTAAGACTCGGCCCACACGTTTAAGGTTTCTTCTACAAATATAAATAGACCTAAAAATACCCTTTGGAAGGGTTTTTTCAGCAACCACGTTTTTGGCAGCTAGAGACAAGGAGAGTTGGTGGAATCACCTCATGGGAGTTAGAATTATCTATTTCTACATCTTTTTATCTTTACTCTGTATTTTAATTATGCAAAATATTTAGGATATTATTACTAAGTATGAGTAGCTAACTTCCTAATCTAGGGTTTTGATGGAACCTATTGAAGGATGATTTTCTTGTTATGTTAATATAGATTTGCCGTAGTATTTTCTCTATTTGTTCAACTATATTATTCTTGTGGTTGATTGAAGGGCCCTCAATTAGCTGTGCCTATTTAGTATGTATTACTCGGGAGAGAGTGCATATTTAGGTAGTTGTTGAACAACATCACTCCTAAACGTATATGGGGGATCAATACGGAGGTTTAAATGTGGGTTTAAGGATAACGAAACCTTGATGCGATCCGAGTGAGCTATACTTAATGCTAGCTACGTAATTCGGGAGAATATGTCTAGTAAATTATGGTAATTACTCGGGAGAGAGTTACGACAGTTAGAGTGCTCATGGTCGATAGAGAAGACTTAGGCAAATTTATAGGAAACCTAGCGGAAAGGATTCCGACAATTGAAAAAATCATTACTCTAGACCTCCTTAGTCTTGTCTATAATTTCAGCCATGTTAGTTGATAATTTTACTGCTTTATAATATTTGCTAGTTAATTAGTAGAAATAAAAAATCAAATCTTTATAACTAGAAAATTACTTAAACTTGTGTTTCTTTGCAATATTGAACAACTGTAACTAAGCCTTAGTTCTCTGTGGGATTCGACTTCGGACTTGTAAACCGGATTATATTTGCAACGACCGCTTAGTCCTTTTTATAAGGCATAGTTGGGCGTGATCAAATTTTGGCGCCGTTGCCGGGGAACTAACGGTGTAGATGTAGGTGTACATATTGTTAGGTTGCAAGTTTGAACTTTTTTTTTTCTTTTCTTGTATTTGAATTTTTTTTATTTTTGTTTTACTTGTTGATTTTAGAAATATGGCATCTTGGAATTATGACAGTTTTGATGTTGGTAATTCTACTATTGATCCTCCTTATGCATATTATGGAGAAAACCACCCATGGCAAAATTATCAAAATATTCCTGAGAGCGAGTTATGTGCACCAACTCAATCTTATGTGTGGAATGTGTGTGATTTGTGTGGTGGTCAAGATGGTCACTTTCATGGTTGTGCTTATATGTCTTATCCTCCCCCAACCCCTTACTTTGATGGTTCTACATTTTCATGTGAAGTGAATAAGAACAAAGAATCTTGGGAAGCTGACCTGAAGGAGATCAAAGATATGTTAAAGGGCCTCGTGGAACAATATGATGAGAAATTACTACAGATACAAAGGCAAGAGGCAACTATTCACAACTTGGAGGTTCAAGCTAATAAACTAATTGAACCTTGTAAAGTGCAACAAGCTTCCATTGTGGATAATAGCCAAGAAGAGTATGAATGGGCTGCAGAAATTGCCATTATAATGGAGGAGTTGAGAGTAGAATTTGACCAAACCAACAAACTAGAATTTGATGATGCCGATGTTGTAGAAGAGATACTAGAGTCAAGCAAGGACATTGATGATACATATTTAGTTGACTCTAGTGTTATTAGTTTTTAGGATGTAGACAGTCCCAATGTTCATGTAGTTGAACGCATTGGTCCACACTCCAAGCATTCTTCCACATTGTGTTTGGATGATGATATAGAAATAGAGTCATCCGAGCCACTTGAGGAGTCAAGGAATGAGGAACAAGGCGCCTATATTTTGAAATACTTCTTGCCAGAAAGTCGGGAATACACGTCTCATCTAAAGGCCAAGAAGTGCAGAATACTATATTGTTTTATTGGGCCAGTCAGATTCATTCCACCACCCCAGGAGCATGATCATAGAGCAGAATCAAAACTTGGGGTCCAATTCATATGTTCAAAGTAGAGGTAAAAAGTAATTCGTGTCGTGCCGCGACGTTAAATCAAGCGCTTGTTGGGAGGAAACCCAGTTTTACTGCTTTATTTTATTTTTTATTTTTTATTTTTGTAGTGTCGATTTTTGCTTTTCTAGGAGCATGGAAAGCAAAGCTATTGGAAGGATACAACAGCAAACCAGATGGTTGGAACTAAGTGTGAGGTACTCGCACGAAGGACCATGCCTGGGAGAAGTCTGAGTACCCCATGAGTTGCTAGTGCTTCGGCCTTTGGCCTATCAGAGAGTCTCTTTGAAGTCTGAGTACCCCATGAGTTGCTAGTGCTTCGGCCTTTGGCCTATCAAGGAGTCTCTTTTACCCTCTTATTAGTTATGGTGTGCATTGGGGACAATGCACAATTTTAAGTGTGGGGTGAGGAGATTGTCTAGGTGACTTTCTATGCTATTTAAATTATGTTAGTTTAATTGATTTTTTTTTTAGAGAATAGAAATAGAAAAGATTGGACTTTTCCTGACGATGGATCTATTAAACAATTTTCTTGAGGGATTTAAGTCAAAAGAAAAAAGATAAAAAGATTTTCTTTTGTTAGGTAGTGTATCAATTCTCCCTTGGTTTTTCTTTGTACCGCGGTTCTTTTCCAAGGGTTTTGTTTGAACCGGGTGTAGTTAGTTTTATTTATTTTTAGGAATAGGAACCATTGTGCCATGAATTGAATTGAAGCAATATCTCTTAGCTTTGTTATGCCTTGAGAATAGTTAGTACTATGGTTGTGACGTTAGGCTCGGGTTTTGACTCTCGCATAAGTACCTTAAATCGTAGATTCCTAATTTGCTTAACTGCTTTGACTGGAATGTCACGATGAAACCAATCCTGAGTGAGTTATGTGCCATGTATGTGTGAGGTTTTGTATGTATTCTATGCATTGCATTTGATGTCTAGAACTTGCCCCGTGTGTTTGCAAAGCGAAATAGTAGTATTGTTCAGTCTAGGAAGTGATATAGGCGTTTCTTTGTTAAGCCAGATATATAAAGTTTACCCACCTAAATGTTATGTACCGTAGTTAACCCCGTTGAGCCTATAATCTTGTTTCTTTGGTAACCACATTACAAGTCGTACCCCTTTGTTTTAATCGACCATATATTTGAATCTTTTTACCTCTCATGAGCACTTAAATTGTTATAAACTATGTAAAAGTTAAAGTGTGGGGTGGTTGGTTCGGCTTTGGTGTGGAACTAATGAAATAAAGAGAAAGGTGCACTGTTTTGAAAAAGTAAGAGCCACTTGAATTGAAAAGGAAAGAAACGAAAAATTAGTTGTATTGCTGTGAAAAATATCCCTTGATAGTGGTGACTCTTGATGTAATTGTGCTTAAAGAAATATGGAGTTAATATATATTGAGGTGAAGGTGGAGTTATGGTTTGACATAAGTATGGGATGTGTGTTAAAGTATATGTATTAAAGTGCTTAAGGGAGGTGTAGTCACTCATATCCAAATATATCCTACCCGACTCGCAGCCTACATTACAACCAATGAAAGTCCTACTTGATCTTAGACTGAATGAACTCGATTAGTAGAGTATTACACTACGGACAAGCCTATGGTGCATCTTTTGTAGCATATGAATGTTATTTCTGAGAGCGAGTGAATTCTTCCTATCTTGAGTTCCAACGGTCTTAAAATGTATTGTGTGTGGAACTAATCTCTTTGATTGGGTGAGGGCACATGATTCATAAATAAAAGGTAATATTGTTGACATCCATGTCAGAGAAAGTAAGTGAATTGTGAATAAGGCATGGTATTTGTGAGTCGAATCTTGAGGCGAGGATGCCACACTTATGTGCTTAAACTATTTCAAAAATTCTTGGTGTAATGAGTTAGGAGAATTGCTTAATAAGGCCATATCAATAAGTGTAGTTTGATTGCTCGAGGA